CATCCATAGCCAACCTATTATCTTCCTTATTTGCCGAACTATCTAAAAGCGTTTAAGTACTTTTATTCTATAATTACATTGCAACCTCATCATTAGCTTCCCGCTCGTTATTTAATAATAAGAGGTCGTCGATTCAACAATGGTTGATCCAAACATAAATCGAAAACCAAATCTTCTGTATTTGCTAGTAGAATATTGTTTCTATACGATTTGCCAAGCCTATGTTCTCCTTGCCTTGCATATCACAGTATATTCATGAGCATCTCATTCCTTGCGTCATTGTTCCTATTCATACAAAATGCACTATATATCGCTTTTCGTCGGTATGCATGCATTATATTTTAATACTTTCGTTATTCAGATTGCTTCTTGTTATCAGGTCAAATTGTCTCAGAGACTTATTTGGTCTATACTTGATTATATAATCTTTGGAAATGCCACTTGGAATAGCCATAAATGTTGTCAGAGTGTTAATGCCGATAAGATCGCGATTAACGGTAGTAGTTATTCAAATGGTAGTGATTAATAGGGCATTGGGATCAGCATATTTATATATTTTGATTCACTCATCTCACCTCTTCTTGGTTTTATCTCCGCATTTATGTTTAATTTATCAGGTCTTCTAGGTGGAATTTGGCCCAACTCACCCTGTGTAATCTTCGCCAGCCACCCAAGTCTTCGTTTTGGCCCCGCAGTCCATTTGATTCGTGCTCTAGCGCATGGTGGTGTTCGTGGGCCGGCGGGGTTCGCCAGCAGTACATTTGCACAGACTAGTGCCACTGGCTCTTGTGGGTATGCTGGTAGTGGTAATGCATGTAACGCAAGTGGCAGTAGTGGGGGAGGTGGAACACCTGGGCTAGGAGTTACTTCTTCCGGAAGCTTTACTGTTGGAGGTACGGCTGTCTCTGGAGGGGCAGTCAGTGGTACCAGTGGATCTGTCAGCAGTGGTTTAGGGTTTACTAACGCTGTTACGCCTCGGCACTCTATTCTCCTGGTCGATTCGCGCGAGTATGCCCCTAGGTAACACTTCAGTGATATGTTTTTAGTTCATATAAATTTTTCTCTTGTTTGCCTTTCATTTAACCTTCTCGTTATATGGAAAAATCGGGCTTAGTGAGCATTGTTATCCAGAATATTTTTTACTCCTGTAAAGTATTTTAAAACTCCGTATAACTAATTTTACACCACTTATTCAATATTGATAACTCTGGATCGTGAAATATTTTGTCTTTTTGATTCTGAGTTTCTTTTTTATTTAATTTATCCTCGATTTACATGGGGTCTATATAGCAAGATGCGCCACTGAATGTATCACAACATAATGTAACTAAATAAATTCTGAATAATAAGATAAAAACAATAATGAACTGAGTATGGCCTTCACATAAATAATGTGCACTATTGTTGAAAGATCATAAAAATCCAAGGCATCACTCAGTAAAGCGTTATTATTTATTTTTACATAGTCTTTACAATAATAAACTTCAGACCATTGAGGAATACTCAGGAATCATCCACACAAGAGAAAATTAGGATAGGTCAGAAAGTTGTAAATATTTTCCAAACACCATTGGATATAACTACCGAGAAAGTTCAATCTGAAAGTCTTAATTATGCTTTCCTTATTCATGCCTTCTTTTATGTTGACACTTGCAGCAGATCACGTTATTATAAGGTTTTGTGCTCATTTGCTTGTGTTTATGTAGGGAGACTTATCGACCCATGCATAAGTGGTTATCAGAATACAAAACCACTTGCAACTTATTCAGAAATCGGTATGGTCTAAAATCAAACTTTACAGCTATGCGGAATATCAGGGAATCGATTGAAATTAACAAAACAAAGAATGAGTGAAACGAGTGTGGGAAACTAAGCAAGAACTAACTTTGACCGATACATAGAATTAGAGTGAGATAAAGAAAGAGAGGAATCCGGAAGAACCATTGGATAAGAGCAGAAGACTTGACCAATTTGGAGTATGGTTTTAGGCTCGAAATTGTCAAATACTTTATGAGTATTACATACATCACGATTTTTATGTACTAAGTTGAAGAAAATATCTGAAACTTGGGAGTTTTCGGTAAAGAGCTCCTACGAATTTATAAGTTAATTGATGATCAGACGATAGAAAGAGATTTGCTGATAAGTTTCGATGTAGTGTCTATGTATACTGACATTCCGACAAACAAGGCAACGAAGGCGTTAGAATTAACTCTAGATCAACATCCTGAAATAAGAACAGGTAAAAGGTTAGGCAGAGGTTCAATTATTAAATTAGTCAATTTGGCAATGTGGCTACGGTCCCCGCCATGTCTATCCTGTTTCTATCCCTAATAACAAGTCTAAGACTTGCTATGCCCTAGTCTCTTGTGTGCCAACCCACCAACGTTGTGTTTCGACATTGAACCTAACAAAAGCGAGCAGTACCACAACATTTATGGGTTGGCACACAAGAGACTAGGGCATAGCAAGTCTTAGACTTGGTATTAGGGATAGAAACAGGATAGA